AAACGGCTTTCTTCAAAGCCACCGAAGCTATGCAATTGCTGATATGTAATACAATCTATCTAGCAGTGGTATGCCTTCTGTGTGCTTTGTTAAACACGTCCTTGACAGCGCTGAATATGAAACTGAAGCGTGGAGACAGATCAAGATTGGTGTATTTTTATAAAACTGCTAAAAACAACAATCTATATTTTTATCAATTTATATCTTGGGCTTGCCCTAGCTTGGAGCTCTAGCTTCGCCACTGATTGAATGGTATATAATGTTTTATGACACTTTAATTTACAAGCAATTTCAGGCTCAAAATTGTTAAAGAGCAATTGAGAAATTTATAAATTTAAGATTTTTTTTTAATTTAACGTCTGAATTGTACGGTCACTGGCTCGGTCATTTAGCATGTGCTAAGTCACTAATTGAAATACTAAATCAATGAATTGAAACCATAGCTTAGCTGTGAACAATTACACTTCTTCTGGGTTAATTACTTAGTGTACTTAGTAGTCACATTTGTACATTAAGGGTTCACAATCAGTCAGGATGTGCAGAGGTGTATCTTCCGTTAATGAACAAAATCAGTACATCCTTGAGTTGTTTGTTACTTGCAATTTCCAACGTTACCTCCACACTAGTATTTTTTTCTGTATGTCGGGTTACAATTTACATACAAAAATTTCGCAAGGACCAACATTCAGACCCGGAACATTTATTTTTAACCCATACAAATACTTGTACCATGTGGGATTCGAAGTCGCGGCTCTCTTGAGTGCAACTCATCGTTTGTAATCATTTACTAAGTTCGACCTGAACACACACACACACACACACACACACACACACACACACACACACACACACACACACACACACACACACACGCACGCAAACAGGCACGCATGCACGCACGTACGCACGCAAAAGGTGTTAAAAAGAGCATCACTCACGGGACAGTCGAGGTGGTGGCGTCAGCCGCTCCATGCGCCTGCGCGCCGCCGCACCGCCGCCGCTCCCCAAGCCCACGCCCACGCTGGCCACACCCAACGTGCCCACGTTTCCCATATTGCCCACGCTGGCAGCACTGAGCGCGGACGGGCTGGGCGTGGCGCGGCTCCGCATGCCGCCGAAATCTGCGCATAATATACAAAACAATAGAATAGAATCATTTTTATTCAATATAGATTATAAATGTACATAAATAAAGTCATTAAAGCACTATCACAGGTTCGGTAAAACCCATTTCATAGGAAAAACGAGCAAAAAAAACCCAGTAGGACTTGTCTTTTTAAATAAAATTAATTTTCAATATATTATTTTATACATTTTGTATAAAAACATTTAGAAACAGCATCGTAGTGACCACCTAATTTTCAGGGACTGTAAATCATGTATACTTTAGTATTCTTTAGTAGTATAATAACGCTTATCAAGCAATGAAGTATGATTGGTAGGATTGGTGTAGGTGTTGGATATAGTGCTGGGTGTACAAATGTTGGAAGTATAAATGTTGGCTGTATGGGTTCGATGCGAAGATGTTAGGTGCAGACTGTAGTATTGGATGCAAAGGTGTTCGATGTTGAGGTGTGAAAATGTTTTTGGACATAATTGCACTCCGGGAGTGCCGACAGAAGTGAAAACTTGAATATTTAACATTGTGCATTTTTGATATTTTGGAATAGTTAGGAAATAATTTTGCACGAATTGCTTTAATTATCAGTATAAAAGTACTATCATTTATGTGGTAGAATACAATATTTATTTATTGCGCTATCGTACACAAACATGACAATTTATACTACATTAAAAAGTTTATCTCTCAGAAAACGCGGCGTACTGTCTACTCTCCATCCGTCTTACGAATTTTCGATCAGGTCACGTGTCCTGACGCGAGTTTAACATTTTTTACCCATTACAAAAAAAGTGTACAACGCCGCTAAAGAAATTTTCACTTCAATAATGTTTTGTGCAGATTAAGAAAACTGGGTGTAGTACTATTAGTGATAGTATATGTGTCTATTGAACAAAGGGAGGAGCTATTCAAGTCAATTTCATTTTCACAGGCGTATATTAGTGTGAAATGTTTAATAAATAGTATTTAACAATGTATATGGGCATGCGAGGGTACATATCACAAGAGTGCGTACCGGCCGGCAGCAGGTCCGCGTAGTGGCGACGGGCTCCCCCTCCACCCCCCGCCAGCGACGAGTACGCTGCGGACACACACACTCACGTACACAAACAAAACCACACAATAAACTTACGGCCTATGTACGTTCCACTCCTGACCATTTTAACCTACTGTAATTTCTGAGGGTCTTAAGGCACGGAAGTAGACATGTGTCAATCGTGAACGATTGGGTCATTTGACCCGGGTCAAGTAAAATTATTAATGATTGCAATCACGAATGTAATAACGTAACGCAAATAGGTTCTTTTTCACTTATTATCAAAGTCATAATCGCTTCGATCAATCTACATAATATAAATAAAATAAAATAGCCTTTTATTCCTCATTTTTACACTTAGTAAATTTGTTAGAAATTTATTTTTAATAGCTTTAAGTGATCATAATTGAAAATTCATTTACACTCAAAATCAATTTAATAACTTTAAGTACATGCATTACTATAATGTAAGAATTATATTTAATTGGAAATTTCATTACACTGAATAAATTTGTTACAAAATCGATTTAATAACTTTAAGTACATGAATTATTATAATATTACAATTTCATTCAATTGGAAATTTCATTTTGTATTTAATTTGCTTTTATTTAGATAATTTAATTTTTATATAAAACAATTTTGGCATTTTAGTTTCACAGATTTATATTATTAGTATTTTCTTTTAAATAATATTTTCTTACAATATAGATCTTATTAATTTTTTTTAAACAGATTCGTAACTATTTTTAGTACTTATTTATTATTTTTAGTATATTTATAATTTTAACTTATTATACCTGTTATTTTAGGACCCCTCTTCGGGTAAAGGCCTCCTCCAGAGCTGCCCATACTTGTCTGTCCTGTGCCTTGTTCATCCAGTTTTTCCCAGCTGTAGCCAACACCTCGTCGACCCATCTTTCTTTTTAACTGCCTTTTGTGCGTATTCCAGTTGGTCCTTATCACTTTGTCATCGATTTAGTTCATCTTTGGTCTGAAATGCGTGCTAAATGTCCTGCCCATCGCCATTTCAACCTTTGACCGTGTTGAAGAACGTCTATTACTTCTGTTTTGTTCCTTAATTCCGTGTTCCTTACTCTGTCTTTCAATTTTATGTTAAGAATTGTCCTTTCCATTCGTCTTTGACGTTTTGCGATCTTGTCACTGTTGTGTTTATTAAATATCCATGTTTGGCATCCATAAGTAAGGCAGGGCAGTATACAATAATCTATTATCTTCTTTTTGAGAATTATAGGTAGAGTCGATTTTAGAATCTCCTTGTGGGTCCAGAATTTACCCCAACTTGATATTATTCTCCTTTGGATTTCGTCAACGTGTCTCGTTCTTTTGAATGATATTAATTTACCGAGATACACACATATATTACAGAGATACACATATTCATCAACATATTCTAATGGAATGTTGTTCACAATTATAGGTATTTGAGCTCTATTCGTCATTACTTTGGTTTTAATAGTGTTTAGTTGCAGGCCTACATTTTGACTGGCGTTGTTTAGCTCATTTACCATCGACTCTATCTGTTTTGCGAACTCGGAAAATATTACTAGATCGTCTGCAAATCTAAGATGACTGAGGTAATTCCCTTTTATATTTATACCCTTATTTGTCCATTTTAAGCCTTTGATGATATGTTCCAATACTGCTATAAAGGTTTTTGGTTGAAAGTGGATCTCCCTGTTTCACTCCTCTTTTTATTGGGAAGGCTGGTCCGGTTCGGTCTAATTTGACTCTACTAGTGCTCTCATGGTAGATATATTGTTATGTATTGTTTATTATTGTTTATGTATTGTTGGAGAATGTTTTGGTTTTCTAGAGCTTTCCAAATGCTGGTGTGTGAAATAGAGTCGAAAGCTTTAGCATAGTCGATAAACACCAAAAATAGTGGTTTTCTAAATTCATTATATTTTTCTATTACCTGTTCAACAACGTGAATATGATCGATGGTACAGTATCCTTTACGAAAGCCGGCTTGTTCAATAGGTTGATATTTTTCGATAGCTGGACTCAATCTTTCTTCTAGGCAAGAAGCAAAAAGCTTGTAAATGGTTGGTAGTAAGCTAATAGGCCTATAATTTCCAACGTCTGTGGGATCTCCTTTCTTGTATAGTAGAATTATATCAGTTGCCAACCAGCTTTTCGGCAGCTTTTGCGTTTCAAGATTTTGTTGAACAGATATGTAAATGGGGTTGCTAATACCTGTTTGGCTGCTTTAATTGCCTTGTTTGAGATATTGTCTCTGGTCCGGGACTTTTATGGTTTTTAAGTTTTTCAATTTTCTTTATGATTTAAAATTCATTAAATGGGATCACCGTCTCCTCTTGGCTTTGTTCCATTTTCTTATATGATTCTACATCAGTTAATGATGTATCGCTGTACAGTTTTTGATAGAAGGTTGTGGCGATGTCCACGATATCGGTCCTTGATTGAGTTTTTGATGTTGGAGTTTGTTTTAGGCACATAAGTTTGTTTGCTGGTATTTAATTGTCTGTATGCTCTTTTTGTGCTTCCTGTCGTAATTAAATGTTTGCTTATTACCTCTAACCTGTGTTCTTTGTAGTCTTTCTTAATTTCTTTATGTGCTTTTTTATATAACATTTTAGCTCCTCTTTATCTTCTCGGGTCAATGGTCTTTTATTTTGTAAATTATGACGTTTTTTTATAAGCAACTTTGTTTCTTCTCTCAACACATTTTTTTGCCGTGTATTCATTTTAATTTTTGATTTTGCCAAACAACTTTTTATGTTGTTCTCTAATTTATTGTAGTAATTACCCAAGCTTTCATTTTCTTGGTTGAGTAAATTACATTTTTGCAGATTCTCTACATATATGTCATTTTCTTTTTGTGATGTTAATAAGCTACGTGTATTGCAGTACCTTGCCCTGCTAGATTTTAATTTTGCTAATTTTTATTGTGCTTCTTACCATCCTGTGGTTACTTGGATAATTGAGGTTATTAATGATTTCTATATTTGTAAAATGTTTGGGGACATTTGAGAGAATATAATCGATCTCGTTTTTTGTCTTCTTGTCAGGAGATATCCAGGTCCATCTTGTTTTTAAATTTTTCTTAAATATTGTTTTAATTATTGTGAGTTTGTTTTGGTACGCGAATTCGATTAATTGTTGACCTCTACTATTTCTTTTTCCATAACCGAATTTTCCTGTGATTAGTTTCTCTATCTCGTAAGTAGATTTTGCGAATTTATTTGTTAGCTGACATGCATCATTTACTTGTCTATAGAAGTTTTTGACTATTTCTTATTTTGCTTCTCCAGTTGGAGCATATATTTGAATAAGATAAATTTTCAAATAACCAAATTTCATGTTGAGCAAGCATACTCTATCTGAAATACCAATAAAACTTTCTATATTTGTTTTGAACTTCTTTTGGAAGCCTACCGTTGTTCTCCCCTGTATAGCAGAAGATATGTTCAGGTCCTCTGTTATTATTGTTCCCGATCTTCTAATCTCTGCTAACCCGATGATATCGTATTTAAGGTGATTGATTGCCTCTTTAAATTCTATCATTCTTTCGTCTGATAATAATGAACTTGCGTTATAGGTAGGTACATACATATATTTTTTGCTCTGGAGGGTTGTAGTCGTATTTTTCCGCGGTGACAAGCCGTATTGGATTTTGTAGAGAGGTCGTCGCAAATTGCTATTCACAGTTATTTTTTATTGTGTGAAATGAAAGCGTTATCTCTTGATTATTTCTTAATATATTGATTCATATTTACCTTGTTTCGCTTTGGTATTTGTTTAGTGAATTTATTTGTATCTTCTAATGGAGTTTGCTCTTCCGGAGATGTGGACAAATTTCTTTTGTTATTGTTCTCGTTTCTTTTTCAAAATGACAATTTTGTCATATTTTAATATAGCTCTTTCTCCTTGTTCAATCTTTTGTTTGAGTTCTGGAATTAGAAGTTTTCTAGTTTTTAATGTTTTTGGAGTAAAATCTTCTTTAATATAATATAAACTCTTTTCAAGATTCCGACGATTTTTAAATAATTCGATTATTTTACTCATAGTTGTAAGGGTTATAACTATGGGTCTTGACTTTTCTCCTTTTTTACCAATTCTAAAATATTCCGAATCTGATTTTTCGCATGAGACTTGCATGTTATCATGAAATATTTTTAAAATAATTGTTTCTAAGTCGCGATAATTGTATTCAGTTTCTTGTACTCCGAACAAGATAATGTTTCTTTTTCTTAGGTTTCTGTCTATCATTTCTATGCGGGTGTCTTGTTCTTGAATTTTTTTTTCCATAGAGACATAACGGCTTTCTAAATTTGTGAATTTTTCATTTATGTTATCGTTTATTGTTTTTGTGATGCTTTCTTTCATATCCTTTAGTTAATTTTTTTTTGTACTTTCATTTCATCTTGAATTTTTTTTAGTATTAAAGTTAGCTCTTCCATTGTTTAAATGTAAAAATATGTAAAGCGCCCTCTATTGATGCAATTAATATATCTTAAAGTTTGCTGATAGTTACTTTTGATGAATCGTGTGAATCGTATTTTGGCACAAGATGTCGCTCTTTTCTGCACTATTTACTCACTAACACTTAAGCATAATTTTCGTGCCTTCCCGGTAGATGGCTGTCTTTTTTTAAATATAATATAAACGTGTACTTTTTTTATTTCACTTTTTGCGTTTTAATTTATATTGACTGAGTAAACATACAAAACCGTTGCATATATTGTTTTCAAAATTTTCACAAATTAATGCACTTTATCACTAAGTTCTTATATTCACTATAAATTTGTTGTTATACTTTTACTTTTAAATCACTGATTGTTATATAAAATTCACTAATTGCACTTTTTAATTGCTTTTATATCGGAGCTAATGTTAACTGTGCGCTGCCGCGCCCTCTCTCTACATAATATACCAGTGTTAAATGATTGAGA